AGAAAGAAAGAAAGAAAGAAAGAAAGAAAGAAAGAAAGAAAGAAAGAAAGAAAGAAAGACAGACAATGGATATATCTACATATATTTATGAAGCAATTCATCATAGAAAAGTAGCAACATGTATAAAAGAACCAATATAACATCAAAAGAAAACCTGCCACATCTCTCAGTGTTACATTTTCTTCATGTTCATGGTGTGACAAAAGTACAATTTAATTCCAGTAAAAATATCAGTAAATCAAATATTAAAAATCTCCAAGAAAAACAAAGTAATAAATCATATCATTGAATTAAATGCAAGAAAGGATGAATTAAAGGTAGGGAAAGAAACTGATGTGCAAATTTGATAGAAAGCATTACACATTTGTCTGACTTCTACCATTGTCATCATATCTATCAGAAATCAGAGCAAGAATAGGTGATAAATGAGCATGTGAAAACCATAAATTCCTTATAAGATTTTTTGATAAGCAGACATTTGTTCTTAAAGAAAACAAAGCACAGAGATTTCAAATACTGGGATTTCAAATTCAGCTACAGATAGTCCTCAGTTAACAACCACTTGTTCAGTGACTATTCAAAGTTATAATCTGGGTGCCTGGCATCTGGCTCACACTTATGACAGTTGCAGTGTCCATGGTCATCTGATTGCCATTTGTGATCTTCCCTGCCGGCTTCCCACGAGCAAAGTCATTGGAGAAGCTGGCAGGGAAGGTCACAAGTTGCTCAAGTAAGTTGCACACATCCTCCCCCACCTGGCAGCAGCTACACTCATGCCGCCCCTCACCAGCCACCCAGATACCCTCCCCCACCCAGCAGCAGCCACTTACCTGCCACTGGCCTGCCTGCGAGCTGCCTTGGACTTGCAACTTCCTGCTGGCTTCCCCATTGATTTTGGTTGTGGGAAGCTGGAAGGAAGTCGTGAGGATATTCTTACTTAATGACAGCAACAGAAATGCCTTCACTAAGCTATGCATTCATGTGATGATCCCCTTGTGATATCACTTAGTGACTGAAATTCCGGTCCCAATGACCGTTGTTAAGTGAGGACTACCTGTACATAAATTTACCTCTGAAATGTATACTTTGATAAAGATGCTTGACAACAGAATATTATAATATTTACAATATTTAATAGTTTAGAAGTAAAGGTGTGTTTTCTTAGGATAACTTAAAATATGTCTGACATGAGATATGAACTATTAAACAAATATTGTTGAGGAAAAGGTACACTTCTTTCAACATCCTTGGGTAATGTCCTTGGGTTTGAGCAATGGTGAATGCTACCTTGAGAATGTGGGTGATGCTGCCAACCTTAAAAGTAGCAAGTCTGCCCCTTCCTCAAGAAGTCATCCATCAACCCAGTTCATCCTAGGCATCTATTGCTCATTTCCAATCCATCCTTTTGGCAGAAGGTGGATAAGCAGGTTAGCAGGACAACAGTTACAGAAAGTCCTATATGAAGTGAATTATCTGGATCAGCCAGGCCAGGTCTGGGCACGGTATAAAAACTTATTTGACTGATTGATCAAATATATATCCCACTGCAATTACAAGGACTCTTGGTGGCTCACAAAAATAAGCACGTACAATGTAATTACATAATACAGTTAGCCTCAGGATTCAAAAGCTCTCAGGAAAATCTCTGTCTTCAATTTCTGTTGGAAGGCAGATAATTTGGAGACAAAGTAACCCCCAACGGGGGACCATTCCAGAGGATTGGCCCTGTTGCTGAAAAATGCTGAAAAATGTTTCTGAGCTTCAGCTCCTCTGACCTCCTGGAAATGGGTGGACAACTAGCAGCTTCTCAGCATGAAGAGCAACTCTTGTAGGAAGATGTGATCCTGCAGATAACCTGGTGCCAAGCCATAAAGGGCTTTATAGGTTAAAGCCAGCACTGTTGTGTAGCAAGACATACCACAGATGTGAGAGATGCATCCCTCCTATCTTGCTTGACATCTCAGCAGTGTTCCATACCATCAATCATGGGGTTGCCTATGAACAATGGGCACACTGTTTTGCAGTAGTAACCGCCTAAGTTGGAGTTTTAATTGGTGTTGGTGAGGAAAGGGAGATTGAGCCCTTGGTTGCTCCAACATGGGTGTCTTAGGGCTTGGACCTCTCCATCATTCTCTTTAATGTTTAGATGAAACCACTGCCTACCTGATGTTCTACTACTTGATGGAGTTGCAATCCCTGGTTCAGGTATAGGTGAAGGCTTCTGATATAGCAGGCAAAGAGAGATTCTCTGCTTTACTAGCAATCCCCACTCATTCTACAGATTAGCTGTCTTGGTATCAGGTTTTAATTCACCTCTTTTCCCAGCTCCACCCCACATTAGAGATAGTGATTTGTGGATATTTTCCACTGGCTGATGACATTTGATGGGAAGGGAAATGAAGCTAGGGGAAATCCACCAAGTTGTTCGCCTTTAAAGAACCTACCCACAGATTGCAAATTAAAGCTATTAATTACTGTACCTAGTATCTGATGAATATGCCTACTACATGACTTTCATACTCTGATGTATTTACCTGTACTTGCTTTGATGGATTTCCTTGTGCTTGCTCTTTGTTGTTTAATGAAGGTACTTTTGTGTGATACCATGACGGGCCCCAAATCCCTATAGAAATTACATGCCTTGAAGAACTGTAAAATTCTCAGCAATGCTGATTAACAACATTCTTATTTCTTCTTCTGCAGTAAAGTGCAGATCAGTCTGTTAGAATAACAGTAATGAGCCTGGAACTCTCATATAGCAAACAGACAGCCCTGCATTTCCCCACAAGGGCTGTTGCATCCTCCTTTTACCATGAGGAGGGAGCCCAAATCAGTAACAATGAAAAATATTCAGCACCTCTCCACAGAGGCAAATTTAGGTTTCTTTGTTTGATTAAAAAAAAAGCAGTGTCATACCTGTGCATCCTGTGGTTCCCTTCTTGACAGAATAACCCAGCTGGCAATGACAAATGAAGGATCCTTTGGTGTTCTCACATTCTCCAAACATGCAAATGTTCGAATTCAGATCACATTCATTCACATCTATAAATTCATAAAGCTCAGTGATTAAGTGCAAGTGTTTTATTATAATCACCTAGTTATTCCAATAAAATAGCTTTAATTAACTAAAGAAATATTAAAAAATAAAATGTCTTCTATATTTTGTCTAACATTTAATAGTGCTTGATTAGCAAAATTATTTAATAAAGGACTGATTTATACATTAATGAAATAATTACTTAAGCATAATATTTAATTACATGCAGAATTATAGAATTGGAAAAAGCCATTTAAACCAATGAGTCCAATCTCCTGCTTGGCGCAGGGATGCAAATTAAAGTATCCCTATTAGATGACTGTCCAGCTCTACCTGAATACATCCTGATAAGGGGACCTGATCAGCTCCCATTCTTATTGGTTCAACAATTCATTGATCTTACTGCTTGGATGATTTTCTAAACATTTAACCACACACTGCTTTAAGACCCAGGACCTTTATTCTGTGTTTTGCTCTCTGGGATGATGATTGAGACAAGCGTTTGTTCTTTGTGACAATCCTTTAGGTACCTGAAAAGTACTATCATATTTCAAGGCTAAACATAGCCAGCTCCATTATTATCACCATTCTATTTCTCTAAACTTATGCTAGTTTCTCTGAAACTTCTTTAAATTTGGCATCTAAACAGCACACTGTCCCACTGGAATATGAGCAATGCAGCACTGTAATTATTTCTTCATGAGATCTGGAAACTCCTACTGTCGCAATCTAAAACTGCACTGCCTTTTTATACCACAATTTACAATGGACCCAAATTCAGCTTGTGATCAGCTTCAGCTCCAAAACACTTTTGTCAAATATTATTATCATGCCTGGTACGGAGTAAAACGGTGCTTTTATTCCAGCAAAGCACTCCTTCAAAACTGTTTTTGAGCAGATTTTAAATTTTATATATAGTACGTCTTCTAAGTATTAGCCATCTCACCAAGTTTTGTCTTAAATCTGATAAGCATTCCCTCTACTTTTTCATCCAAATTATAAATGAAAACGTTAAATATACTAGGCCCAGCATTAGCTCCCATGGTATTCCACTTGATATCTCAGTCCAGTTTGATGAGGAACCATTCAAGAAAATTCAGACCAGCAATGAATCAACTTAACAGATATGTCATCTTCCCATCCGTAATTAGTTCGCTAATTAGAATGTCATTGGGTACAAATGAAGTCAAGATATATTGCATTTTCACAAACTGAAATCAATTTAATCTATCTCAACTAAAATTACAATTTAATCACTTAGAAAGAACAAATCTAAAGCATTTTCCTATTTGTATGTTATTATTTTTATAACATTAGCTTATAAAACAGAACCTCTGAAATCTGTAACTATCTTACATACCAATGCATATTTTCATATCGACAGAAGCCATGAATCCATCGTAACAAAGGCAACGATATTCTCCTGGAATGTTAATGCACTGTCCACCATCACAGATATCTGGGTTACTCTCACATTCATCGATGTCTGAAAAAAAGTGGCTATCGATATCATATTTAATCTTTCATTTCCCTAATAAATCGTATAAAGGCTTTTTTCCCAGTAATTGAGGAAAATTGTTCAAACACATCATTTGAACAGTAATTGAGGAAAATTGTTCAAATACATCATTATATAATCTACTATGAAATGCTCTTGGGGGCACATATTTTTTTCTTTACCTTGACTGTAGATTGTTAAACATTCTGTAGTTTTGACTTCCGGGGAAGCAATGGTGGACTGAGAATGGCTCCACGACAATGGAGCCGATGGCTGCGGCAGAAAGAGAAGCCAGTGAATGGATCGGCTCCTTGGAACCCTTCTCCAGATTAAGGAGAGGACTAGGATCACCAACAAGTTTGCTCCATACAGAGGCTCACCAGTGAAGAGACCATAAAATAGTGATCTCCGATGGGTTTGAGAGCTCTGGGAGCCAGGGAAAAATCTTCCTGCCTAAGTCATGGTTCGGTGCCTTCAAATCGACAATGGGTTTGCCCACTTCCTCTCTTAACTACCTTAGGAAATTGCTTGTTATTGAAGAGCAAGTTTCATTATGCCGTGAGAGCTTCCATCCTGGATGAAATAAGTGTCATATAAGTTTAAGGAATAAAAAGAAAAAAAAATAATTTTTTGGAAAACAGCAAAAGAAGGACTAGAAAGTTGATTTTGGAAAGTTAAGAGGCTAGGTTTGTTTAAAAATTTATAAATATATAAATTTATATATAATTTTGAAATTAACTGTAAGAAATCCTCCTGTGGGAAAAGCTTTGCTGATTGGAAAATAAACATATGATAAGAGGGGACTTTGAGGATTGACTAGAGGGAACCAGAGAGAACTAAGGATTATAATTAAAGGAGAATAGACTTATTAATACAATGGAGCAATATTATTTGACTATGGAAGAAATCAAGGATATTTGGGAACAATATACCTAGAAATTACTCTTAAGATTGTCTGCCACTATAAAAATGGATCTAACAGAGGCTACAGAAGAGGAACAGATTTACTGGACGAAACAGAGATTGAGGCTGCCTTGAATGTGGATTGAAAAATGGATTGAAAAAAAAATCCAGATTACAAGAGTGATATGGAAAAAAGATGATATGGATTTGAAAATGGATTTAAAAATGACCAATTATAAGAGTAATATGGAAAAAGATGCCACAACCGAGTTACAAATGAAACTGGCTGATGTTTTAATAACTAAAAGGGACATGCAAGTAATAAATCAGAAGAGTGACCTTCTTATCTTGGATTTACAAAAGGGACATGTTAAACTACTGAAGCTGTTCCTGAGAGGAGACAAAGAGAAAATGATAAGAAATCAACTTGTGGGATATTACTTGATGGGATTAAAGACCAAGCTTTTTAAAAGTAAACAGAAGGACTATAAAGTGAATTTACTTGATCAGGCTTAAAATATATGTGTTGTGGTTTCTGGTAGCTATTAATGGAATTTCTTCTTGACCAGGACTGAATGATGAGGCTTTGAAGATTTATTTATAAATGGGGAGATATTTCATTTGCTTTATTCCTCAAAGAGAGTAATAAATTGGAATACAAAATGAATTTATTTGATTAAGGTTAAAATATATATGTTATTATTTCTGGTAGCTCTTAAATAGGCTTTTGCTGAATAGGACTGCATGATGAGTTTTTACAATTTGTTTATTGATAAGAGATGAGATATGGGAAGAAGAGATCTTTTTCAATTATTAAAATACTAGAGAAGGTGTTAAATTACTGAAGTTGTTTATACTTGTCTGGAGGGAGGGGAGAATCATTTTTTTATATTTCTCCTTTTCTTATTTTTTCCCCTTTTTTCTTTTCTTTCTTTTCTCTCTTTGCACTTTTATTTTTCTTTACTTCACCATCTCTATTTTATTCCATTATCTAGGGACCTGAAATTCTTTACCCAGGCCTAGCTATGCTAATCTGGAGTCACCCTTACACTGTAAAAATACTTCTCTTATCCCTTTTATGAAGCAGTCGCTAATCCAGCAGTATCTGCTGGGTTGGTCAAGCCAGTCAATCTGATGAAAGCAGCACCACACCAAAGCCCTGCCCCTTCTGTACATGGGTTATAATGTTATGTGCATGTCCCAAAGGGGCAGAACTTGCAGGTTGACAGTGTGACACTCTTTTTGTCATGCTGATAAAAGCAGCAGAAGCTGTGGATGCCCATGCACTTAGTTTCATTCCTGACTTGACTTTCCCTGATACTTCAGCACTAATTTTTGATGCCTGCAGAAAACAACCTTATGAATTTCTTGTTTAAAACGAATAGTTCTGATGCTCAAACTAGAATTTGTGAGGAAACTATTACCTTAGATATTAAGCAAACTTATTATCGGAAGTTTTTCATCTTTCCTAATTTAGAGCTTTTAAGAGAAAGAGAGACTGAGGGAGATAGATCCATTCATGTAAAAAAAGGGGGGGGGGCATTTGATATTACAAATGTGAACCTTGGACTTGCAAGGATTGTCTTTCCTTTCTGTATTTTGATTTTTACCTGATACTTGGTGTGGGAAAACTACGTATATTGCTACTTTACTGTATTTACCAGAACCATAGATTAGAATCATAATTCATACTAATTTTACTGTGGAAGGTAAAATCCTAGTGTGCCAGCTTAGAGGCAAACAAGGAAATTACTGAAAGAATTGGGCTGCACAAGTGAGTATACAGTTACACTTGATAACAGAATATAACAAGTGTAATATAATAAAATCTAATAAATAACTATTATTTATTAGATTTATACCTCACCTTTCAATCAGGAGCTCAAGGTAATGTACATAGCATTCCCTCCTCCAATTTTCCTCCATAACAATTGCCCTATGAGGTAGTTGAGCTGTGAGAGAGTGACTTCTGTAGCTGAGGGTGGGTTAGAACCTGGGTCCATCCACTGCTAGTCCAGTATCTTCACCACTGCATCCTCCTGGTTCATGGCTCATTCTCTAAGCCATTTTACTATAGTACTTCTTTGTGTACAGGACTTTTTTTCATTATTTTGTGGATGCAGTATAAGAAATAGAGTTGAACTGCATTATCTTACCTGCGCAACTCCTCATATCTGGCATCAGAGCATATCCATCACTACAACTACATTCGTAGCTGCCTTCAGAATTACTACAGTGAGTGTCACAGCCTCCATTCATAATCATGCATTCATCAATATCTAGGAGAGTGTATTTGGGACAAATGATTAGATATGTACCTTATAAAGCATCACTTTTTTTTTTTGCTTCTAAAATCTGCATTTTTATTCCTTAGTTTTCACATTTCTTCTCTATCTCTATCAGCAGAAGAACATAAATACTTCTAGGAATTAATTATATCAAGATTTTGTGATGTAAGATAACAAACTAAACTAAACTAAAATTAGAATATAAATTATAGCTAAACAAACAAAAGTAACAGTGTAGTTTTTGTACATCCGGGTAGTTCACCTTCATAGATCTTGAAATAAGCTTCATCTTATTTGTTATGAAGTTAAAGTTCTGAAAAGAACACATTTAAAAATTTATTGTGAAACTGACAGATATTAAAATTTCTAGTACTCACCAATGCAGCCTTGCTTATCTGGAGTTGCCTGGTACCCAGGATTACAGGAACACTGATACATGCCAATCACATTCACACATTTCCCATTTCTACACAGGTTATTGCTAAGAGAACATTCATTGATATCTGAAAAAGAAAATTTGCTTGCTTCAGCTCCTGTCTACTGTCTGGTTTTGAATGGGCAAAAATCTAGCAATGCCATGAAAATGGATTCTGACATGAAGTTCCAACCTTATGTTAATATAGCCATGTGTCAAAATAACACTAACATTTCAACACCTAAGGGCCAGTACTTTTATGCTTTAATGTTATGAGAATGATAATATTACAGCCACGGAAAAATAGCAATCACATTATTGCTATTTTGCAAATTTCAGTCCTAATATACATAATATATATATGACTGCATTTTTACAACATCCAACCATATGAAAGCAATTAATCAGTGGCAAGATCCAGACTTGGAGTCTGCTCATTGTCTACTGAAAATGACAGACATTTAGCATAGCAGATATCTGCACAACCTATTTAATTGTTTAAATATTTTTATTCCATTTTTCTATAATATAAGTTGGCTAAGAAAACCAGAAAATAACATACAGTATTTCAAGAACATGAATGAAAATAAAAATCAGCTTGTGCTTCTTCAGAAAATAAAAAATGCAAGTGCTCCTTCAGATTTGCTTGTTAACACAGATAAATGACAATTTTATCAAATGCAAGCTTAATATTAACAAAATTCACATGTATCTTCAAGGCTGATTAATCAGGGTGATCTCTCAGTAGATAAAAAGAATTTCATTTTACATGTCTAATCCAAAAAGTGAAAGTAAGAGAAAGGGGAAGGTTGTAATAGATATGAATGAAGGTGGTCTGAACTTGTGGAATTAAGTTACTGAATACATGCATAAAAATGAAGTTACGAGTTTCATTACAAATGAAATGAAAATGATATAAAAAGTATGCTTTGATATCATTTTTGTTGTGCATTAATATAAAAGCAGGAAATCATAAATTGGTGATAATTGCAAAGTTATGCTCCAGAAAAAGGTGCTAATGAAAGTATAAAGGATCAGTTTGGTGAAAAAAGGTGTGCAACATTCTGAATGAATGCAGTTTCATAGCCGAGTGATTATTTTGGGAGGCATAAATAGACAAGTAGGAAAAGAGAAGAGGGTAGAAAAAAGGTGACTAGCCCATTTGGTAACCCAGGAATAACTGAGAATGGTTGCATAAGATCTTTTCTGGGTCATGGATCTGGGAGGGAAGGTGAAAGAAAGGGAGCTTAGAATGGGAGAGTTGGCTTTTTTTAAAGTAATGTTCTTCTCTATAGCTCCCAGCTGGACCCTGTCCATTTTCCAATTTTATCTTTCTTTTGCTGTTTCTTCCACCACACCAATTTGATCATGTTCTGTTCTATTTTCAGACAGTTATCCCACTGACAAACAGCTTGATAAACAGGCAGACAGAAACCTGACACTCTTTATATATTAGTGTCTGAGAATAAAATGATGAGAAGGGAGTCATAAATCCAGTGAGAACGTTGCAAGTGTAGATGAAACAACCAGAGAAGTGCTAAAATATGGATATAGTTTGCTTATGCAGTGACTCTGCAACTTATTTGTGTGTGAAGACTGCACCTTGCCTGATGATAGAACAAAGGCTTAAAAGGAAAAGGTGGAAAGAATGGATGCAAAAACTACATGGTGATGCATTTATTAAGTGTAATTGGGAAGACATTAGGCAAAATTGTGATGAGGGGTGACCCGAGCAAACTTTGGGAATTGCAATGAAGCTTTATTCTGGGCAGACATATATGTGCATGATTTTGCTTTTAAGCAGGTCATTGTAAAATGTATGTATAAATACATTTATACATAACTGATTTAAGAAAAAAATATTCATAATTATTTAAGAAAAATAATTGTAATTTTCTTGAGTTAAGATAGGATGAAAAAGCCTGAATTATAGAACAGTATGGAGTTGAAGGTTGGCTACTGATATGGTAAAAGCAGTACATAATGGAAGTAAAGAATGTGTGAGAGTAAATGGAATGCTTAGAAAATGGTTCCTCATTGACTAGGGAGTTAAACTAGGATATGTGATGATCTCTTGGTTCTTTAATATAAATATGGATACGTGTTTAAGGAAAAAGTCTGGTGATGTTAGAAGTGAGTTGGTCAGGGATATGAATGTATGTCCACATTTGTAGGAAGATTATCTAGTATTGTTGCCTAAGAATCAAATAATTTTCAGGGAATGTTAGATAGATTATATGATGTAACAACAAATACGAACTGAAAATTAATTATCAAAAATGAAGATAATTGTGTTTGACAAAAATGGAGGAAACAACTTGTAAATTATATATAATTAGTGAAAAATCAGAGCAAGGAAATATTTACCAAATATAAGAATATGGATGGAAAAAAAATAAGATGTGCAAAGATTGCTATTAAACTAGTGGGTGGTATGGCATCCGCAGTGAAGAATGAATGTTTGTCAAAAGAAGTGAAAATGCCTGTCTATGCCCACTTCATCGCATGGAATAAATGCTTGGTGTATCACAAGAAATTTAAAAGTAACTTGAATGTAATGGCAATAGGTTACTCAAGAAACGTGTGGAAAATTAAGAAGCAATATTATAGTCAAGAATTACTGGGTGATGAACAAATATGGATTGAATGCAAAAGTGAGTGACCAATCTGAAAGAAGTACTGTGAGATGGTATGGTTGTACAGAAAGAATGAATGAGAATTGACTCTCAGAACAAACATAAAGAGTAAATGGACTGGGAAGAAGGGAAAGACCAAGAAACTTGTGGCTTGATGCAACTGGAAATTCTCAAAAAACAGGTGCAAAAAGGTTAAAGAAGAAAAAGCAGTGTATGAAGTAATGTAAGAAATTCTGATGCAAGGATGGTGTGCAGTGATAGAAAGATAAGGAGAGGTTTAATGAATGCTGCTGCTGTTAACTAGATTGAGCTATAATCACAAAACAAATATATTAAAGAAAATTAAATGAGTTGAGAATAGGAATACCAAGAAATTCATGTATGGACTTGATGTGATGCTCAAAAATAATGTTATGAGAAGTTTAAAGGACAAAGACAGTGTATGAATCAGTGTATAGATTTGGTGGAAGCAAAAATGGCATGCAAGGATAGAGAATTATTGAAAATTATAGTGAATGGTGTTAGTGTAAACTAGATTTAGTTAGTTTTATTTTATTTTCTCTTATCTCTTGCCTTTATTTTCTTTTGCTTGTTATCTCTTTCTTCGTTTATGCACTTTGCATAACATTGGTTTTCCCAAAAGGAAAGAGCAGGATGGGTATATAGGCAATCCAAATGTTCCAGGTGAAATAATTTTAATGCATTCATGGGCAAATTTATATTATGTTATTGCAACATTATCAGTTACTTATTCACAGACAATTTTATTTGTAGGTTCATGAAACTTACCCACACATTCTTCACGTGATAAAGACAATTCATGCCCAAGAGGACAGTCACATTGAAAGCTTCCTTCTGTGTTTAAGCACTTCCCACCTCTACAAAGAAGGGGGTTACGTTCACATTCATCTATGTCTGAAAAGATTTTAAGGGACAATTTAAATGCCAACATATGGAAGCAATAAGAAACAATTACATTTTGAGAAAGAGCCTCTTTATAAAAATAATGACAACTTATCTCCTCTATATTTCATAATAAATAATACAGGAATCTGGGTAATTTGGCACTTACAAAATCATATTTAGACATAAAAATCATGACATTTAAAAACCCAATATTTATTTATTTGTCTAATTTATATAGCCACCCATCTCACAAAACAAGTGACTCTTGGCAGCATACAACAAGCTAAAACAATTAATACGTATCTAAAACCATATAGTTTAACTATATTAAAACTATAAAATTAAAGCTATAAAAATAATAGAAGAAAATTTATGAAGCTCAGGGTTATATTGAGATTTCCTTTAACTGCTATTTCTGAGGTTCTTTTATATACTACTATCATATGTAAAAGTATCATGTCCCACCATTATATATTAATAGATTTGTTTTAAACTATAAGCAGCAACATAGATGCAAAGGCCCACATGCTTTTCACAAGCGGTATGTGATCTTTTTCTGTACTTAGCCCAGTATTTAGTTTAATTGATTGCTACTTGTCCTAAAACAAATACACACACTCACACTCACACCCGCACATTTTATGTTTTATGTTTAGACTCAGTGTCCAGTGGCTTCCATTATTACCATAATAGCTTACTTTGTGGTATTATGGGACAACATGACTCGGGGTGGTGTACCAAATCATCAAATAAAAATACAAAATAGAAATAACACATACCACTAAAGCAAACTAAAACAATTAAATGGTGATCGGGACTAAAATACATGCAAAATATATTATATATAAATATATTATTGTTGTACCCCAATTTGTCCGAATGCTCAGTCCAACACATATAGAGAACTTGAAGTTGGAAAAAACTGCACAAAAACTCCACCACTCACCCATGCAGTTCTTCATCATCATAAATCCACTTTCATAGCCCTCGAAGCATTCACACTCAAAGCTTCCTGGAGTGTTGACACAGGTGCCACTTCCACAGAGATCAGGTGAGATATGGCACTCATCAATATCTAGTTCCAGAATCAAAAAAAGTAAACAACATCTTACTGATAACACAAGTATCAAATAAATTAGTTCTGCAATGAAGTGAGTCAAGAATATAGTTCAGATACAGAGGCATCACGAGCCTTACAATTATTGAAAATGATTGGAAGAATGATGACTGAAACAAGAAGGTGATATTTATATAGTGAAAGGATGCTGTACCGTAACCAGTAATTTCTACGATTATTGACAGTCTTCCATGCTTTATCCTTTTTTGTTCCTTCAAACCTCTCCCTGTTTCTACTGGAATTATTTGTAAGCAAATGACCTCCTCCCATAAAGTGGCTAGACATTAACTCTACTGGGTTCCTAGGATACTGTCTGCTGTGTGGAAAATAATGCCACAAGTATTCCAGGTAGATATGTCATGGAGTCTGCAGTATGGGTGATCTAGTTCTATGCTATGCCATCCACCCTCATACTTAGGCTACATCCTGAATCTGGAAACAGGTCAAACTGGTGTTCACCCTTAATCACAACCTAACCTAGATTTGATTTTATGTTGATATTAATATACCTTTTTGTACTTTCTATCTTAGCTGTAATATGCATGTCAATTTTATAACTTGCTCTGTGTGTGTGCGCGTGTGTGTGTATAGATATGGTATGTGTATGTGTGCAGATAAATAGACGGGCAGACAGATAGACAGATATTGTCAGGAGGAAAACCAAAGGCTTGATTGAATATAACCACTTCACTGAGCAGCAAGAACCAAGTATTTGAAACACACCATGATTATTATTGAAATGCACCTCTTTCACACTGTTCTGTGATCTACAGAACACCTGACTGGCAAGTATGGTAACAATAAGCTTTCTCTTGCTGTTTTTCTTTTCTGCCCTAAAACTGAGAAAAAATGGCAGAAACCTTGCCCAGCCCTAGCTAATGAATTTATAGGCGGGTAGGTACTTAGCTACTTTTCAAATTGGCTGGCAGCAGAGGAAGTAAGACAAGCCAATCTAAATTCTAAGACTGAGGAAAGGTTTCAAGTATGTTTTCCCCAATCTAGTAGGCAGAACAGGAAGAAGGAATTAACTTGTGCACTGTTCTGACACAGAGGAAAGAGCAGTCAAGAGGTCTCCAGGAACAGGATTCAAAGCCTCTTCTTGACCTTCTCAGCTGAAATTCCAAACCCTTACTATACATTATGAGGAAAAAGAAAGGGAGGTAAATGTATATAAATGTGTAAGTATGAGTATATAGTTATGTGGGGTTCTATTTTTTTAAAATGCATTATATCATATCCACAAGATTCAATTGGATTGGGGGAAATTGGCACTTCCTCCCCTAATGAGAAAATTGACCTTTCTTCCACTGAAGAGGTGAATCTATATCAAAGGAAAAGGAAATTCTCTTGACACACGATAGGCGTAAGAATTCAGGATAACATTTTCTTTCCAAACTTTCAGTTAAAGTTGGCAAGAACATTTCTATTTATGCAATCTTTATAAAAACAAGGAAAACAATCATTATATAAACAAGGAAATAACTGCTACAGCAATATTAATACCAAGAAAACCTTGATTTACATGTCTTGCCACACACATTTTATATCACTCTGGTGCATTTAATTTCTACTGTTCCAGAACAAACTTCTTTTCACTTTAAATGTGCAGCCACCCACAATGCAATCAGCTATTCATCACAGATGTATAAAGTCACTAACTGAATTTCAGATTTTTTAGGGGTTGAAGAATTATTTTTATTTTCAGAACAATGTTGGACACTGATTTATTTAGAAAGGTTGAAATCATATTTAAGCAAACTTGGTCAGCATGATGATTTAGGTAACCTGCCCTTCCCCATGCCTCTGTGAAAGTTTTCAATTTTTTTGACAGTACAGTAGTACAATTGTTATTTTAAGTACAGTAGTGTAACTGTAATTTTAAGAAATCTTTCCAAGCACTCCACTGTCAACAAGATTCTTACCTATGTTTTCCTCCTTACATTACAAAAAGATGAAATCTGTATTTTTAAAAAGACAGACAAAGTATAAAAATGACAGAAAGTTGGGACCTAGGACTATAGTGCAAAATGGGCTTAGCATTTTTGGGCTATGGCATTATGGGTTAAAGCAGAAATAAATATTTTCTATAGGCATTCTTCATAATAGCATCATCTTTCAGAGACAAAAGAGCTTGTGTTTGTTCTTTCTACCTGTTCCCTCATTAACTGTTCTCCTTAAAAGGGCAAAAAATCTACAACTACAAAAAGAAGAAGGGAGCAGGAAGCCCCAATGGCTGGAAGCTAGCATCCATTGAAAAGTAAAAGTTGCTTTACCTCTAAGGCTGAAATTATTCGGAAGGAATTCTTTTCTGCTTTTCATAAAAGTAGCCCAACTTTCCCAGTCTTAAAGTAGCACACTCTCAATGGCAGCCTGAAAAGTCAGCCTGCTTTAATGAATAGCAAACAGGTGTTGTTTGCATGAGATATCCAAAGCACTTCTGAATTATTTTCAAAGCATGCACAACCATACTTACAAGCATCTAATTCCCACACTGCAGATTTTACACACCTGTAGACAGGCTACAGTATAAATATTTTTCAAAATATTTTTTAAAATGAAAAGTGTACAAGCGAGCTTGTTAGTTTTAGTGGAAAACTGGGAGGAGAAGCAAAGCTACTCAAGGCTTTAGTCTCTGGCTATTTTACCATTCAGAATTACACACAGCCTCCTCCTCCTAAATTTAGATTGTGGGAATCTTGACAAAAACAATGTTTTAACTTTCTAATGAACATCAGAAGTTGACATTATCAGATACACTTTTCAAACTTTACTTATTGCAAGATCTATGCACATGATCAGTAGTGAGAATCTGATGGTAGCAAAAGGAGTCTCCCAACTGATTAAGCAATGAAAGACAATCTTTTGTTATGGAATCCCATCTCAAATTTACCTGTGCAATTTCTCTCTTCCATATCAAGTGCAAATCCATTATTACATCTACATTTGAAGCTTCCAATTGTGTTTCTGCATTTGCCATTTGTGCACAAGCCAGGGAACATTTTACATTCATTTATATCTGCAATAAGAAAACAGATGCATGCTTTATGTGGTCCAAGAGGTTATTTATCAAACAGAAAAATACACCCTTTTAAAAAAATAACAAAGCAAAGGAATAAAACTGAACAACTTGATTATAAACAAGTGAGAAACAGTTTTAATGTTTCCATTCATTTGGATACCTCGTACTTATTTTGTAGAACTTTTCATCACAAAATAATTCTCCAAAGAAGATTCAGATCATTATGAAACTGTTATGAAGCCATACTTCTTCAAAGTGGTTTATTGAGTTGGTTAATTCTTTTCACAAGTCTACTGCCAATATCCTTTCAAACTACCCATAAAGAGAACAGTCTGCTGGTATTCCACTGGTACGTCATCTCCAAATTCACAGCCACAAGAAGCTGGTTGATTATCCTCATGCAAGTGCAAGTACAGGCCGTGAGGTACCTTCAGGACTGTTTTGTCCAACCAATATTGACCCACTCAATGCAAATGTCCTGGTAAAACCTTCCAGGGATCCCTACTACTCAGAAGCACTGCTTTTCTGCTGGAATACTCTTTCTCCAGATATATAATCAGGTCCTACTTTAGAAGATTGATTGAATTAGGATTGGGGTTGCTGCTATCCATCCATCTATCCACCAATCCACTGACCCATCCACCCACATTACTTATTGTTTTTATGATGCTGTTATGGTTATAGGCATTTTAACTAATATTGTATCAAAGACATTTTAATAGAATGTACTGGAAAATACTGTAAGTTGCCAAGAGTCATTTGATTGTAATACATTTGATTACAATATACAGTACTGTACAAAAGTTTTAGGCAGGTGTGAAAAAATGCTGTAAAGCAAGAATGCTTTCAAAAATATATATTGTAATTGTTTATGTTTATCAATTTACAAAATGCAAAGTGAGCAAACAGAAGACAGGCAAAAATTGCAAAGTAGACTGTGGTTTCAAGATGTGCTGTTCAAGCTCTTTTGAAGAAGCACAAAGAAATGGGCAACACTGAGGACCGTAGACGCAGCGGTCAGCCAAGGAAACTTAATGCAGCAGATGGAAGACACATCATGTTTACTTCCCTTTTACACTGGAAGATGTCCAGCAGTGCCATCAGCACAGAACTGGAAGAAACCAGTGGGACCCAGGTACACCCATCTACTGTCCAGAGAGGTCTGGCCAGAAGTGGTCTTCATGGAAGAACTGCTGCCAAAAAGCCATACCTCTCATGTGGAAACAAGACTAAGCGACTCAGCTATGCACAAAAACATAAGAACTGGGGTAGAGAAAAATGGCAGCAGGTGCTCTGGACTGATGAGTCAAAATTTGAAATATTTGGCTGAAGCAGGAGGCAGTTTGTTCTCCGAAGGACTGGAGAGTAGTACAATAATGAGTGTCTGCAGGCAACAGTGAAGCATGGTGGAAGTTCCTTGCAAGTTTGGGGCGGCATTTCTGCAAATGGAGTTGCAGATTTGCTCAGGATCAATGGTGTCCTCAATGCTGAGAAATACGGGCAGATACATATCCATCATGCCATACCATCAGGGAGGTGTGTGATTGGCCCCAGATTTATTCTGCAGTAGGACAACCACCCCAAACATACAGCCAATGTCATTAAGAACTATCTTCAGCATTAAGAAGAACAAGGAGTCCTGCAGGTGATGGTTTGGCCCTCACAGAGC